GGTATATTAATAACCCACTAGTGACTGACAGGACATCAGTCATAAATACAGTAAATACTCAGTACTTCAAGTACTGCAGTCCCCGACAACTGGACATATAGTCTGTGTCTCCGTTGTCTGGGTGTCTTTACTGTGGACCACTGACCAGAATATTAACAACTGGACTCTGTGGGGAGGAGGGGGGGGGGGGGGGGCACTAACATATATCACTGACACAGTAGACTGTGTTAAAGGAGGGGAGCGTGAGCGCCATCTGCTGCCCCAGTCCACTGTTAGTCTCTTCTTCTCTGTTTTTATGTGGTTCATAGTGGGAAGCTGTAGAACTAGAACCAGAACAAGAGTCTGACAGTTGACCGACCACTAGTTAAATGTTAGTTATGTGTAGTTTACTGGTTGTCAGGTTCACGTTTCACTGGTTTCCAGTTCCAGGTCGGTTCAGTGCCAGAAACCAGCTTCTTCCAGGGTGAAGTTCTGACCCACTGTGTTTCCAACATCTGCAGGAAGGAGCAGAAAAGACCGACGTGACCCACAGGTCTGGGTTTAACCTGTGTCTGTGCAGCAGGGCCTGACGACTGTGAGCCGTATGAGACGACGACGACGACGACAACAACAACAACAACAACAACAACAACAACACTGCTTCTGCCCCCCCATACTCCCCCCCCCTTCATTCTGCACCCTGCTGTAAGTCACTGTGTATGCTGGCACCACTGAGGAACAGAAGAAAATACAATCATTTTGTGTGTGTGTGTGTGTGTGTGTGTGTGTGTGTTCAGCCCTTTACAGTGAAAACAGTGAAAACAGAGATCTTAATTACTCACGGAAGGAAGAAGGAAGAAGGGAGGGAGGCTGTGGGGGGGTACAGTAGGTGAGAGGAGAGACAACAGGGAGGGTAAGGCACAGGAAGGAGACAAAAGAAGATGGGAGACCCCCCCCCCCAACACCACTCTCCCACAGCAGGTGGGGGAGGATGAAACAGTGTTAAACAGTGAATATCACAGAGAAGAGACTACAGTACTGCATGGTACTGTAGTACATCACTGTAGTACTGGTACAGTACAGTAGGGTGTACTGTAGTACTGGT